TTGACTAGCACGTTTTACTGTTATCATAAAATTTTCCAACAAAGAGACTTAAGCTATGTAAATTCTCTAAGTTATTGCATTTAGGCCAGATGCCATTAAAACAGAGCAGATGGTCATTTGAGTACTAGTAGAATGAGTCAAAAGCTATCATCAGGTGGTTCATTTAATGGTGGCAGATGTCTTCATAAAGCTTAGCAAAGGGAAAGATCATTAACTCTTGATGGTAACATGGTATTCTACAGGAAGGAGAAAAAGCATAATAGGTTTAGTTAGGGACTAACGTTTTATGAAATGAAATTTTTAAGAAATAATTCTTGCCAGGGCAAAGGAGGTTTAGACTGTGAGGAAATAGTTTTAGATGAGAATAAATTGGATAGATGTAGTAACGGGAAACAAAAAAGCTACCAGTGTGAGATATAAGTCAAATTTGGGCCTTATTTATGTAATGCCCCTTCACCTGTTTTATGTTTTCTTTAAATATCAACTTTTTAAAAAAATTCAGTTAGTTGCATTCTTCTTAAAAACTTTTTAGTGCTCATATTGGTAGTGGAAGGAGGTGTTGCTTTGTTTACTTTTTCCATTTCTCATCACTAGTCTGTTTCACAGCTGTTCAGTAGCTTTGTTGGTGTTTGAACTGTGGGAACTCAGAAAGGATTTGGATGTGCTTTTGTGTGCATTAATGGTTTTCCTGGAGTATTCTTTAAAACCATGAATTGTAGAAGGGCCTTTTTTTTTTAAACCAGCTATTATTGTGTATTTAAATGGTTTCTTTTAAAGAAAGCCTGCTAAGATTATGCGCTCATGAATATTATCATTGTGCTTTGTGGAAAATTAAGGTAGAGATGAAGTATATAATATAAATAGCTAAAAACTGGACTTTTTCTCCTTTTGGTCAGCGAGAGGTTGGGATACATTTTCCCTATGCTTTTTGTCAACTAACTCTCGTTTGAAGTGCTGCACAGATAGTTTAGAAAAAAACTCTAAGTGCATAGGGATACTGATTGTTTAGTGCATTTTACTTTTTGTAATGACATTGAAGACTTATTTTACATCTTGTTCAGAAACTTAACCATTGTAGAGACATTTACTATTATGCTATTTGATATTATGTTTTTGGTCATAGTGCTTTCCTGTACTAAGACAGATTAGACTCTAACTTCAGATATGTGGCAATGAGAAGTGTATCTAAATAATGTATATATTTTCTTTTCATACGCGTGGAATTGCTCAATTTGTGTAAAGCTTAAAAGAAAAAAAAATTTCTAAGTAACAGTTAATACCCTATTACTAAAGTAACTATTTAAAAGTTGGTTTCTATAAATATTTGTTTAGAGTCTCTCATGTTTTTGTTTGTTTTAGCTTTTATTTTAATTATATGCTTATACTACATATTAAATACCCCTACTCACCCAGCTGCTTCCTAGAATTAATACACACTCAGTGTTGAAAACTTGGAAAGCTACAGAGTAATCCCATTAGTACATTTTGGGGATTATCTTTTTAGTTTTTATGTGCACATGAACTATATGTATTATGTGATTTATTTACCAAAATGGTATACTGTATTTCTTTGCAAACTGCTTTATAAAGTAATAATACAGTTTATGATGCCAGTAACATATCTTCTACAACATGGTTTAATAACTGAATTTCCTTTATGAATGACTATAGTTTACGCGTAACTAACCCCATTTAAAAAATATATTTTATTGATTTCAGAGAGGAAGGGAGAGGGAGAGAGACACAGAAACATCAATGATGAGAGAGAACCATTGACCGGCTGCCTCCTGCATGCCCCACACTGGGGATTGAGCACGCAACCCAGGCATGTGCCCTGGCTGGGAATCTAACCATGACCTCCTGGTTCATAGGTTGATGCTCAACCACTGAACCGTGTCAGTCAGGCAATAACTCCATATTTTTTACATCGGCTATGTTAAATTTTTGTTTCTATCTGCTACAAACAATTTACTATCTTTGGATATTATCTTTTGGTGTACTGGGTGACATCCAACCCACTGAACCACGCTGGCCAGGGCTGTATTTTCTTTTCAAAATTATGAAATTAATAATTCTATATAATAAAAGCCTAATATGCAAATCGACTGAACTGCAGAACGACTGGTGGAATGACCGGTCACTATGATGCGCCCTGACCACCAGGGGGCAGATGCTCAGTGCAGGAGCTGCCCCCAGCCCGCAGGTGCCAGGCCAGCCAAGGCAAGTACCAGCGGGGGCCCCCCAATCACCCTGCCGTTTGCCCCACAGAGAGAGGTGACTGGCGGCAGCGGCGGTGGGGGATGGGGCTTGCACTGTCCCCCAATTGCCCTGCCAGTCACCTCCAAGGTGAGTGTCAGCAGGGGCCCCCCCGATCGCCCTGCTGATCACCCCACAGATCAAGCCTGATCGCCAGGCAGGCCGAAGGACTCTACCCATGCATGAATTTTGTGCACCGGGCCTCTAGTATGCTTATAATAAAACAAAACAATTCAAAAGCATATAGAATAAAATATGAAAGTGCCCTCTCCTTCCCCATCTGTGCATCCTTAATCACTGTCAGCAATTTTGTAGTGGGCTTACAGATTTTTCTCTATACACTTATTATGTATATGTGTGTTCACATGGGCATGCATGTGACTTCTGGGTTTTGTGCCATGCTTAGAAAAACTTTACTCAAAATTGTAAAATATGCTGTTTAACTTTTTTCTAGTACTTTATGGTTTTCTTTTTTCACATTTAATACTTTTAAAAAAATGTTTTTATTGATTTTAGAGAGAGAGGAAGGGAGAGGATGAGAGAGAGAGAGAGGAAGAGAGAGAGAGAGAGAAAAAAAGAGAGAGAGAGAAAGAAACATCAGTGTGAAAGAGAAACATTGATTGGTTGCCTCCCATCAGAGATTGAACCCGCAACCTGGTATGAGCCCTGGTTGGGAATCGAACCCATGACCTTTCAGTGCATAGGACGATTGATGTTCAACCAACTGATACACACTGGCCAAAGCTCATATTTAATTCTTTAATTTATCTTTATTTTTGGTATGTTGTATTTAAAGAACTATAATTTAACAAAGATTATAACTTATTTTTAACTTTGTTTCAGTTATAATGGTTACATAGCAAATTACTTCAAAACTTAGTTGTATGAAACAATTTATATGCTCATGGCTTCCATGGGCTAGGGATTTGGACGTGGCTTTAAGGGGAATGGCTTGTTTCTGCTCCACAATGACTAGGACCTCCACTGGTAGTATCAAATATTGGAAGGACTGGCAGAGTCAGGCTTCTTAGGTATAGGGCATCCCTATACCTCTTTGTGGCCACTCCTTGTGGTCTCTCCTCTATGGCAGCTTCATAATAGCCAGACTTAGTATGACAGAGTTCCCAAGGCATGAGGTAAGGAGAAAGACAGACTGGACAGATAAATAGCACTTGCGTTGTCTTTTATGACCTAGCCTCTGAAGTCATATAGTGTCACTCCCACCACCTTTTATTGACCAAGGCAGTTGCAAATGTCTACCCAGGTCCAGTGTCTGTGGGGGGAAATAGACCTGTTTCTTGATGGTCATGTGTTATTGTCATGTCAGAAGAGAACTTGGAATGGATGTAGATTGGTGTGGCCCTCTTTGGATTTTAGAATTTAACTTAAAAATACCTTTGTGTGAGCTAGAATAATTTTTTAATTTTATAAACTTTTGCTATTTGTGTTGGGAGATAATAATTACAGGAATAATTACAGATTTTTTCAAAATTAATATAAGGAATTGATTACATACTGATTTAATGCAAAATATAGCAAATTCTTAGTAACCTAGGGATGATTAGGTAGGTTATGGATTGTTTGGTACTTTTTAAAATCTTTATGTGATTAAAAAAACCAAAATAAATAATTTTCATTGTATTCAATTTATATACCCAATAAGGAAGAATAGATGAAAGTTGCATTCAGCCTTTTGATTTATATTCTAAAAGACTGAAGTGAATGCTGGTAGCTTTGAGTTGTGTGGCTATAAATCTGGGATTTTTAATTTTTTTAAATATATTTTATTGATTTTTTTACAGAGAGGAAGGGAGAGAGAGATAGAGAGTTAGAAACATCGATGAGAGAGAAACATCGATCAGCTGCCTCCTGCACATCTCCTACTGGGGATGTGCCCGCAACCCAAGTACATGCCCTTGACCGGAATCGAACCTGGGACCTTTCAGTCCGCAGGCTGACGCTCTATCCACTGAGCCAAACCGGTTTCGGCAGGGATTTTTAATTTTAATGTGCATTCTGTTTAGACTAGAATATAATTTCTTTTGGGCCTATTGCTGATGATTTTCATGACAGAATTTTCATTCTAGCCATAGGATAGAATCCATCATTATCACTGATGAGAAGTGGTGGATGATCTGCTGGTATGTAGGACTATCTTGCATGGCAGGTATGTCCACTGTTGCTCTTCTGGAGTGAAAACAGTGAAAGGAATGGAGAAGACAGGTATAGCCCCAGGGAAGCCATAAGCCTTGGGGAAAAATATGATCGGATGATATAGTAAGAGAATGGCTATGGAGAAGGTAGCTAATTTGCTAAAATGAGGATAATCCACACATGAATAAACATTCTCTATATGCAGTCTCTGGGAAATTGAGAAATTAAGTTCTTGATTTCTGTGTAAGTATTGTTGAATTTTCCTAGTATATATGATGATTTTGATCACTAAATTATTTAAATGAATGATAGTACATTTAATAAATCTATATTAAGATGAAATTAAGTACAGTGGGGCCTTGACTTTGGAGTGTCCCAATTAACGAGTTTTTTGAGATACCGGCTGCCTCTGCCTTGGCCCCCACCGCTGCAGCTTCATCCAGAAGGTCATCTGGAAGGACATCCGGAAAGACATCTGTTCTAATTAGCATATTATGCTTTTATTATTACAGATATTTCCATCCGTGTCATTGTATTTCCATCCATTTACCATTAAACCCCTGGATGCTGCCACCATCATCTCCAAAGCTAAAGCTACAGGCTGTCGGGTTATCACAGTGGAAGATCACTACCGGGAGGGTGGCATTGGAGAAGCAGTGTGTGCTGCTGTGTCTGGGGAGCCTGACATCCTTGTCCATCAGCTGGCAGTGTCAGGAGTCCCTGAAGTGGGAAACCTTGCAAATTGCTGGATATGTTTGGAATTAGTGCC